TTGAAAGGGCTGGGATAATCCCTTGAGGAAATGCAGCAAGTTCTGGACCCATCCTTTTGCCATGGCGGGGCAGCTGCTTGTCAACACACTAAACTCAGAGCTGGCCCCTTATGAAGCTGGCTCCAGATTTTGGACCTGACAAGTAAGACACAGTTTTAAGGAGCGAGTTACCCAATACATCCCCTTCCAGCTCTTGTCGTTAGCCTTTAATTCCACTTAGGGGGAAAACACGCTTAATTGTTTCAAAGATTATTACTTTTTTTTTTTTTTTTTTTTTTTTTTTTTAGTAAATTTCTAGTAAATGGGGAGATTAATAATGGGCTATTTTTTTCTCAGCTTGTGGTTTCTAATTACATCAGTTACAGCTCAGCCTTCCTCTTAACCGGAGCGCAGGCATGAACTGGAAAAGAATGAACTAATCCTGATAGATCAGGTGAAAGAAAGCTCTCCATTCAGGTCTTTACCTTTCATCCCTTGTTCTGAGTGCCAAGAATTAATGCTGTTTGAAAGTACAAACTGATCCTGCCAAGCTCCGGCAGCTGAGATAATCCTAATTATTTTCAATGTTAGTGAGAAGGGCCGCAGTCCCACTCTGGAAGAAGGTTCTATTGTGAAACATTAAATATCTGCTAAGTGGTATTGATTGGACACGATTTTTATTTCCAAACACTATGGTTATCTCGAAGCAGAAGGGTTTGTTGTTGAAGACATTTTCACAGCTTTTCACCAGATTCCTTTAAGCCTACAGAACAGCAAGAGGCAAGCACTTTAGTACCCTTGGCAGGGGCACACAGGTAAAGAGCCCATAGCCCCAGGGAAGGCCATTTGCATTTTATTTTCCAAGGGTTTCTTAGTGAGGCTTTGCTAGTGTTTAACCTACAGAGAAAAAAACTTTTTTTTTTTCTTCAGGCATGAATATCGTGTGTTTTCTCACATCACCAACAGAGAATTATTTGTTCCAGGCCATCAACTTCATTCCAACAGATCATTCAAGTTAAAAGTCAGGGGTCTTTGCAATGTCAAAAGACAGAGTGGCTTTGAGTGCGTTTATTATTTTTAGGGTTTTTTTTTTTTTCCTTACTTAGCTTTTTTGTAGTATGTACTGTGTCTCAGAAAGAACACTTTGTTTAGATAGCATCACTGAAAGCATCTTAACTGTTTTCTCCATGCTGGTGAGAGCCCTGATGTGTAAGATGTGTTTGTTTTTAGCGCTTAGATGCTGTAAGCCTAATTGGTGGCTTGAGAGGAAGCAGGTCCCAGACCTGCTGGTTCACACAAGGGCCAGTCTCCTTGGTTTAGGACCCCTGACTATGACAGAAGGACAGTGGAGAATGGCAGGTTTTCCTTTTTCCTCTGCAGTTTACACTTTAATTCATTTCTTCTGTTTCTGGGAAGGCCCAATGCTCATGGGGAAGGAGAGCCCTTAATTGATGTTTGCTACTAATGCTTCCTGCCCCTTCTGCCCCTTCCTATGCAGTTGCCCTCTTCCCCCACGCACAAGAGCGAAGCCATAACATCATCAGTGAAGATGATGTGGGTTGAGCATCTCTGGACCAATTACTCTTTCTTTAGGTTATTCCCCAGAGTAGAATTACCAGGTCAGAGGGGACGAACAGTTTTACGGTTCCTTATCACATGTCACTAGACTGCTGTCCAAAATGATTGAACCAATTTCTCCTCGTAGCAATACTGCCTGTGTTCCCTCACTGGGGAGGACGCCAGGAGTTAGCAGCATGCTTACCGAATGACACAGACAAGCTTTTTGAGTTGAAACTAAGTCCTCTGCAGTTCCCATGAGGGTCAACTTAAAAGGCAAAAAGGATCCTGTCCAGTTTTTTGAATTGTCTAATTGGTACTAAATTACTTATGACCATAGTTGCTACTTTTGCCTCCAGAAAAGTTAAATAAAGTTTGTTTAAATGGACAGGCACCCCAAAGGACAATATTTAAGGATGCTAATAAAATAGATTTTGTGCATTTGTCACTAACAACACCAAGTCTTTATGGGCACTTGGGACTTTCAAGAGGTGCTATCCAAAATGAGTTAAACAGATTATGACATTAACTTCAATAACTTGATATTTTTTTTCTCAGAGAATCTAGACTATGCGGCTGAATAATGTAGGGACAGATATTTACTATTTTCCCAGCCCTTTTACTAACTACCCTGACTCTACCATATATTTCTTAGTGAAGCCACAATATTACATGAAATAACACTAATTGATCAATGCTAAACTTATTTGGAATCACTACTCTGAGACATATATTCTTACTATTACCTCCTTTCCTCTAGAAGCATATTTTCCCTAGAGCCAATGTCTTCTTTATATGTATTTATTTATTTGAGCTGTACATTTCCCCCCATTCCCCTTCTCTCCTCCCCTCTTCCATACCACCCCCTGCCCATCCTCCACCCTCCCAAGCTCCCAGTTTACTCAGGAGATCCTATCTTTTTCCCCTTCCAGGTGGATCCATGTATGTCCCTCTTAGGATCATCTTTATTACCTAGGTTCTCTAGGGAAACAACAATCTCTTATTTAAAGATAGTACTAGCCTTTGAACAATTGTGAAACTAACATGGCTTTAAGTTTGAACTGGAGAAACACTTTTAAAAAAAAAAATAGAGGTGGTTTTCCAGACAGATTGAGTTCATTCTTTGCCTCCTCTCTGGAACTCAGTTCCATGCACCTACAGCCTCAGTTGGTGGCATATTTGTGGTCCCAATTCATGGATATGAAGGGCAACTGAGACAAAGGGGGCTGTCCCAAATTCTTCTCTTGCAGAATTCTCTTTCCTAGGGTTATATTGGCTGAGTGAGAAGGGACCAAGGCACCTCCTTCAGTTTCTCCCCAGTGTCAATGACAGTTCACTTGGGGGGGGGGGCTTGCTTAATCCCATAAGCACTCTGGTCAGTCTGAGAAGGACAGATAGTTTGGTCCCTTAATCTCAAACAGGTACCGGGAAGGTTGAGTAGCCAGTTTCCAGGTGTGATAATACAAAATAAGCGGTGTAAGGGGCAAGAACATGCCAGAGGCTTGGGGTCCTCTTCATGTACTACAGGGAGCGGAAGTCTCTTAGTGAAGGGCTTGAAGGTGAAACACCTCACTACAGTAAGTGGCCTCTGGTGCATTGTCAATAAACATTCACTCCCTCCCACTTGGCTTGGAGACAGAAAACTCCCTAGTTTGGTGTTGGTGTGAGAATATGCAAATGAACAAATAGACTCCAATCTGCTCTTCAGATCTGCCTGTGAAGATGATATCTGAGTGCAAAAGTCTAGTGTTTGGACAGCATCTCTTTGTAGATGTATTTGATGAAGGGCATATGCATATGATTTGTAAAGAATTTGAAGTTCATGGAACCACTGGGATTTAGTAAGAAGCCATTGTGTGCTGCCATAATGTAGGGGCTTTGGGGTCCCCATTGTGTGTGTGTGTGTGTGTGTGTGTTTTGCTGTATTTGTATATGTGCACACCTACTCTTTGACACCTATAAAATTATGTCTAATGAATTTTTAAGGTTTACAAACTCATACCTTCCCTTTAAAAATAAAATCAAACAAGTATCTTCAATTAAAAAAAAGATGAACTGTCAGAAAATTGCTCCTCAAATTTATACACTGAGTTTTCGGATGATCTCTTTCCTTGTTGGATGCTGAAGTGTCTATGTCAATGTCACATTGGAGATTTGGGGTGTAATGTGGTTGGGCAGAGTGGTTACAGGCCCACTTCTTGATCTCAGTTCTGTCATTCCCGTGTGTCTCTGAAGTGGCCCCATCCGTTTCCAAACCCATAGCAAGTGTAAGTAGTGTTCTCTTGTAAAAAAGGTCTCTTTCGGCATGGTAATATACCTTATTAAATTCCAGACATAATAAGTATTGATGGCAAACACATCAGGACCCAGTTCAGCTCCCACTATGATTTAGTTCTCTACAAATGACTTCAGCACTCAGCTCCCAGTGCATTTTGCTAATTACATCATAGATTTCCCTATTGATGAACACAAGCTGAATTAACACAGGAGCACTAATGTACCCTTTCACCATTATTGTCGTACAAGAAGCCGTGGCAGATGCTGGCAGTTAGTTACACAAACATTAGTATTAACGATTGGCCATTTGGAATTGGTGACAAACTACTGCCCGGCAAAATCCTGAGGCCGAAACCAATCAGGAAGTTAATGAGGAGAGAAATTACCGAGGCAGCTTCCCCTTAATTACATTCACACTAGGCATGAAGGGAGTTCTGGGGGTGGATCTAAACTCTGCTAAGGTTAAGAAGGTCAGAGACCCTTTTGCTTAAATTTTGTATCTACTGTGGCTTCTAAGGTTTCAAAAGAAAAAATTGTTGGGCCCATTATTATTTTTGTATCCTTCATATTTAAGGTCAGTTTCCCAGTGGAATTTTCATGTTTGTAGACGAGTTCCTTAAATCTCATGTTTCAGTGTGATATAATTTATATTTTTCTATTTAAAAATCCCTTCTGCGTTTGACCTTTTACTTCTTCATAGTTAAGCACGCTGAACGCCCCTCCCCCACTTTGTTGCTCAGTGGTAGCCAAGAGAAATAGCAAGAAAGGTGACAAGACAGGGCTCTCAGTTTACCTGCTGGGTCTTGCCTTTCCTTGAGTGGAAGTGTAGGGGTTGTAGTCCTGCTTAGGGATCACTCCTCAGGTGTGGATGGATCTTTCTGGGAGAGGTGTTTCCAGAGCATCCTTTACATGAAGGGGGGGGGGGTGGAAACCCTTCCAAAGTGGGTGGAGTGGTGTGCCGGGGTGGTTGCTTCTCAATGAACCTTAAATCTGGGATTCTGCTACCTCTCTTTCCCCTCAGTTAAGCATATGTGCCATAAATATGACTGGCTTTTATTCTAAGGAAGTGAAGGAGGGGTACTGAGGAGCCATAAAAACACAAGAGTGCCTCTTGGTTGGAACTTAACTAACACCGAAGAAAGTCTAGCCATTTTTAACGTACTCTCCCCCTCCCCATCTCTTCCCAGTGTTCTCACCGCCCAGCAGTCAAGATTCTGGCTTGGTGTCCCTCTCCAGCAGCTCTCCCATGAGCAACGAGAGTACCAAGGGAGTTCTGGAATGTGAGTCTGCACCTTCTGAGCCCAGCAGCTACACTGTCAACCAGGTCCTGGAAGAGGATGAGGATGAGTGAGCCGCTGGTCGGTAGACTCAGTGACCGGGTTGTAGGAGGCTTGTTCTGTTATCGGCAGGGTTTGTTATTTGATTTGTCTTTTTCCGTTCAGAAGTTTTGGTTCATATATTCCTTAGGGTTAGGTTAGAACACTTGTAACAGTGTAGGGTTCCCGACTACCAACTGCAAGGATTAAGTGCCTGGCTCACCAAGTTTAAACCACAGTCGAATCTCTCCCTATCCCTACTCCTCCTCTCCAACCCGCAACTAATTGACTATCTGCCCATGTTAGTCACAATTACATGCTACTTTTGGAGTTAAAATGAAATCTTAGGTGCCTTCGATTATTATAAAGTTTTCAGGATTTTAACAAAAGCAAGAAAATATAAATTTAGCCAAGTATTTGACCAGAGAGAAGAGCAGGCAAGATTACTTTAGAAATCTGCAGAAAGTAAATGGTGATGACACTGTTTCTGTGTTGCTGTTGGAAATAGCTGTATCACACACTCCAAACTTAAATGTAACTGGAATACGGTGAGAGAAAACTGTTAGTACTTTCCCCGATAAAGGGTAACTTAAAAGCAATATCATGAAGTAACCTGGTGAGGTATTTTCCTGGGTGGTGTTCCTAGAATGAGTTTAATGTGTACATTTTCTTTACTACAGGGGAAAAGTGAATGCGATCTAGACGATTTTGTAAACTTAGATTGTAATCTGAGTTGAAAATAAGTACATCTTTAAAAGTTACCACTGAAATTTGAGTTCATTATTTTGTTAAAAATTGCTTTTGGATTATTTCCTTATGTTACAGAAGCCATCCTGAAATGAAACTAGTCTAAAAAAATTAATTGTGGTGTGTGGTTGCAGCTGTACCTGAAATAAAAACGTTATTGATGACTGCATTTTCTTGTGTGTATATTTGGGGAGCCGCATTAAACAGGAAAAAAAAGAAATTACTTGTATTTTTTTCGCACTGTGCTTTGAAAACATCTATTTGATTTCACCCCCATCTGTTGTAATCAATAACCTGACCATCTTGTTTTTTATTAAATGCACTTACTCTTAATTTCATCCACCAGTGGTTTTAGAGAGAATAATGTGGAGTTACCTATATAGGTTTGACATTATAAATCACTTCTTGGGGCTGAATCGTATAGCGGTATCGATTGATCCTGATATATCACAGAAATTTACTGTCACTTCTGTTTTCAATTAAAGATACAATCAGTCAGATAATGACTTAATTGGATTTTACAGAAGATTGAGTTTTATTGCCCAGTGCTTTACGAGTTTAGTTAAGGAAGATCATTTTATCACACTTGTCAGGCCGCTGCTACTGCAGCCTGTGCCCTTCTGCAGCTGTAGCTACTGTGGCAACGACATCGGAGCCAGCGCCAGGAAGGGGAGCGGTTCCTGGTGGCTTTCCCTGTCCCTGCTTGAGGCCTGTCGCTGGCTCGAGGCGTGCCCATGGTTAGGGTCCCCTCCCTTCTCAATCTTCGTAGCTTGGGAGCGGGCTTCAGTCTTGAGGTTCTGTAGAGAGATTAGGCTGGGGGCCTGACCCCACACCGAATCTCTCAGTCGCCCCCATCCCTCGCCCAGAAGCTTTCAGCGCTGATGTTTCAACTTTGATGTTCACCAGCTCGCCAGCAACCCAGTGCTAGCGGCATCCAGGACTCAGTAGACCGGCCACACCCCGAGTTACTCCCGGTGGTAGTAGCTGGAAGACAGAGACTGGCCACAGGCTGGAGGGTCTTTGCAGAATATCTGCTTTAGGAAGAGACTTGGGCCTTGTCAGTAGAAGGGCACTGACGCGACCTTTGCATTTATTCTTGATTGCTAAGGAGGAGGAGGCCAGTTCAGAGCAAGGCAGATCCAGTTCAGAATAAATCTAGCCGGCCACAAGGTGCGGGATTTTTACCAACACACTCAAAGCAAGAGGCGCCCAGATTGTAGCAGCGAAACCAACCTGTGGTTCTGTAGTGTGTGTGGGAAGCGAGTGTAAACACATGCGTGCAAGTGGGGCTGCGGGGTCATTCCCGGGGAGTCGCTGCCTTATCAAGTCCGCAAACCCCGCGGGGGAAACCGAGGCAGGCTGACTCCTATGGAGATGCCGGGCAAGCTCCTACCTCAGAGCTAGTACTGAGGGTTAAGAGAGGGAGCTGTTCCTGAGGCTCGGAGTCGCAGGGTACTCCTGCCCGGTCATTTCAACGCCATCCACCGTGCAGATGCCACTGGGTCCCTACACCACGAGCTCACGGAACCCGGCCCGCGGCCACCCCAGCAGTAAAACCTTGTCCGCTGTCCATGCACTTAGAACGCAGAGTGGACCCAGTGGGCCAGCCTCGCCTGCAGAGCAAAGCGTGGGTCTCCCTCCCTGCGGTTCTGCAGGTCGATTAGGAGACAGACGCCTGCCCACGCGGGAAGCCGAGCGCCTCCGCTTTGCTGACTCGGCAGTGCCGGGCCACTTTCCCACGCGGCCTTTGGAGTCCCACTCGGCTCAGTATGGGATGTGAAGGGCCGCTAGTCAAGGGCGTGCACACGGCCTGGGCAGAAACGTGTCGGGACACAGGCGAAGACTAGCGGTGATCGTGAAGTCCCTTCCCGCCCACGCTCGGAAAAGACGCACAAACTTCCACGCTGCAGCGCCTCGGGGGAGCCCATTCACGGCCAGGGGGCGGGGTGGAGGTGGTGGGTGGAGCCAAGGTGTGCGGGGGCGGGGACGCTCAACGGAAGCCGCCCCTGCGTGCTGGGCTGTGGCGGGGCCAGGGGACAAGCTGTAGGCCTTCGGGGGTCCTGTGTAAGGCTCTGTACCAGGTCCTGGTGGTTCTAGTGTCCCCCGGTTTCGAACTCCAGGAGTCGAGCTCGCACCCACTCTTCCAGGGTGCTGGCAACGCGCCTCTTCCTCCTGATTGGCTGCTGGCCCTGGCGCCCTTCGGAGGAAGTTTCCCTGTGCACCACCTAGGCTTTGCTAGCAGTTGCGTTCTGTGCTAGAAGGCAGGAGCGAGAGAGGGAGAGGGGGAGAGAGTTTTCTGGGGGAGGGGGTAAGTCACGGAGAAGTCCACCTAGCACTCCGGGATAATGACCTAGGGAGGGGAAATGTTTACTTTGTCCCTGAACGTTACTCACATTACCTGGCTCGGTTTTTCAGTCTTCTGTTTTTAAAACTCTACAGAAAGGCCGTGTATTTGAGCTGTTGTAAAGTCGACGTCGATCATTTTACCTAGCAGCAGATCCGGTACACCCCTAGACTCACACTTAAGCAAAAGGAGGTTGTCTCCCTTCCACAAAAGTTTCAGGACTTGTCCTCCGCCCTGGACGGTCTCGGGAAGGGGTGGGGGGTGATCGGCGGGAGTGTGGCCGCTCATCCGAAGACCCTTAGAAATCTTAGAGTGAGTTGATTCAGGAGAGACACGTTCTGCCCAAAAGCTGGAGCCAGGCATTCTTACCCAGGCTGCTGGCCTGGAGAGGTCTAGAACCTGAAGAACTGGGCAGCACTAGCATACAGCTGGCCCCTCTATCCAGGTACTCAGCCTTTTAATCCAAAGGCAGCCAGCTCCTACTTCGCTGTCTTATCCCACCTACAGTGTCGGTAGGCGACTGTCCAGAACCTTTCTCCGCTGCTCAAGGCATCCCTCAGGCCTACTGGGTGCGGGACACCAAAGGCTTGAGGCTGTCCCCCACCAGTTGGGGGTTAACCAGTTGCACTACCTCCCCCTTAAAGCCGTAGTCACACCTGCTTTCTTTTAACTTAAAGCTGGCTAAAGAGAGATGCCAAGAGACGCTGACTGGGTGAGGGCAGAACAGCTCCTGCTAGGTTCCTGTGTAGGCAGACGGGTGACTTTTGTCTTCTTCTGCCTGTACAGGGGCTTTTACACCCCACCCCCAGCATCTGTCAAAGTAACCGTGTTGGTGACATAGCCAACGAAATGGGAACTCCGGCTTTCCCCTGCACCAGAATACAGAACAGATGTCTCCGTGTGTCTTACATCCAGCACAATATGCAACTGTCCTTTGATTAAATGTTGCTGGGTGGGGAGTGGACAACACCTATCAGGACCCGCAGACTTGGAATCAGACACCAGCACTTTCTCAACAAGAACCTCAACAGTGGCCTTGGGGAGCTTCTGATACTCACACATCAAGTCACTTAAGTGTGTGCCAGAAGGTCATCGTTTTTTTTTTTTTCTCCCACCGCCTTCAGTGTTAATATCTGCCATATCTCACCCAGTTAATTGTGGTTTGAAAACACTAGCACACCACCCAGAGGAGCCGAGAGTGGGTGTAGTCTAGTGAGGTTACTTTCGCTTGTAATCCTCCCCTCCCTTTCCAATTTCTTTGATGATTTTTCCCATAAGTGCATGAGCTGCAAAGTCTTAGTAGAAGCAAGCCGCTCCTCCTAAATGTGATTCGGACCATATGCTTTCCACATTCATTCCCGCATGGGCTTTCTTCTCTGAACTAACTGCTAACACGTTATAGTCACCTTGAAATTTCCTCTGCTATTTTCCAATTAAAAGCTTAATAGCCCTGGAAACGGAGTTCATGTGGTGAAGTTTACCATAGCCCCTTGTTCTGAAAGGCTTTTTGCTGGGATCCCATTATGTGCTTGAATAAACCCTTTCTGCAAACAGAAATGGGACTCGGGGTTGTCAGGTGTTGGGTTACAATAGACTTTGAGGCAGGGGACATTTTACCAACATAAATACAAACCTGTCCCTATAGGGAGATGTTGTCAAATACTGGGATATGGAAAACATTCCCATCAAATATGAGAAAAGGATTACCGCGCTATATCAAATGAGTATTTAGGTCTCAGCCCTCGATGTGCACTGGAGTGAAACGGGCCCAGTACCAAATAATACCAGAATGTGTGAGTGGCATCGGGATAGGGTGGCTAGGTGACCCAGGAAGGAGAGGGGATTGCCTGGTGCCTAGCTTCCCTGCTTTCCTTCCTAGAAACTAGTTACTCTCATTTTCTGCATCCGTTTCACTGACCATTTAGGAGAAATTGGGCTTTGAGAAAAGTCCATGGTCCTTGTGTTTCTGAGAGACAAGATTCAGAGCAGAAATAGTGCAAGTTCCCAGGTTCGTGTCCTTCACAGTTCGTGAGAAGTGACTCCCTCTTGTAGGCAGCCACTTTGAGTCCCTACGATTCACGGGTGACCTCTGGCTCCGGTCCCCACAGTTTACAAAATTCCTTCCCGTTGTAGTGTTAGGAGCTTGTTTTCCTG